TACTCACCCAGCTTTGTGTCCTGTCTTCTAAAACTTGTCGAGTCCTGCTCATACTCTTTAGTATGTGGCCATCCACTAGAACATTGTTGACCTACCAAGGGCCACAATTATAGAAAAACTGACTCTCCCTCTCAGCAGCCATTAGCTGCTTTAGCTAGGGGTAGAGCATTGAACACAACTCAGCTCTCCATGCTGAGATTTTCTGTTCCCTGAGGTTGCACAGGTCATTCACATGCTTTCATAATTATTGTGAGTTCTTATGTATATCTGTGCTACATAGTTCAGAAAACACTGCTTCACTGTAGTCACCCACCGACTCACAATTTTTCAACTCACACTCCTTACCCCTTGCTGTAGTGATCCATGAACCTTGGGAGGAGGGCATGTGATGTCGATGTCCTATTTGGGCTGAGCAATCCCATTTAGGGTTGAGCAATCCATGATTTCTTATTCAATGTATGTTGACTATTATTCTAAATAGAACTACTATTAAATAAACACCTAACATTTTATCATGATATCCATAGGATTAGTATGTCTCCTACACTCTAGGAAAAGCTTTTTTCTGTAGTAGATGGAGATTAACATGTCTAGATAAGTATACGGTATGAATGAATGAAAAATGATGCCAACAGAATCATGTATCTGAACACATGGTCTCCAGTAGGCTGCACTGTTTTGAAGGTTATGATATATTTAGGGGATGGGCCTAGGTGGAGGTGGGTCACTTGGGGCTGCCCTTTCAAAGCAACTCCCCCATCTAATTCTGTTCTCATGATCTGGGCCATATGAACACACACAACAGCCAAATATTCACCTGCCTCACTATGACAGCTCTGCTCTAGCCTCCAAACCACACACTAACCCATGACAGAAATCTCTGAAATTCTGAGTGAAAATACACCTTCCCTTAAGTTGTATCTATAGATATTTTGTGACAGTGACAGCAAAATTAGCTAACATACTATGTTTCCTCAAATACACATTAAATCAAGCAGCCTCTTTGCTTTCCATATTTGATTAAAATGTAGCAAAGAAGTAAGTTATTTGCAATGGATTATTACCTAAAAATTACCTGACTGACAATGATCCAAGCCTTTTCTGGTCTCTATAATTGTTCCATAGGTTTAATAAGTTGGAGTAGAATAATGTTTCAATATGACTTCTATGTGCTGCCTACTGCTTTGATGTTGTTATTTTTAACATGTGACACTGAAGTGATTAGAGATCCAGTAAGAGAAAAAGTTGTATTAGCAGAGTAACCTTCTATACAGTTGTAATTGCAGATGTGCACAACAGTCATCAGACACCCTGAAGGTGATCATTATTTTCCTATAACTGATTCACACGTGTACTATGAGACATCAGTACAATTGCACACTGTGCTATTAACTTTTACTCAAATTGAATACCTCATAAATGCTTCACATAATATTCTATCTCTCAGAAATGAAATTATCAAGCTAATTTATATTCCAAATATAACCCTGGATCATTCAGGAGAGGGGAGACACTGGAAGGATGTCAAAACTTCTCACTGTTCCACTTACAAAGCAGAAAATGCCCTTCTTGACAGTGGTGTGCTAGCCGACATTGCTCTTCTCTGCTTCTCAACAGCTGGTCTTCCATAGCTGAGGAAGCAGAGGGTGAGCAACTTACCACAGTCAACCACTTACCACTGGCTGGACCCAGATTGACTTGTCCTTGTCTGCGAATCCTGCTGCAAAAATGAGGCTTCCCATGAAGACTAAGATTCGGTGACTTTTTAAAATATTCTTATTGGTGGATGATTTATCTGTATTAACAGCTGGTGTTAGTATATAGACATATATGTGGCAACATTACTGTTCAAAATGATAAAATGGATTAGTTATATAAGATGTCAGTTTGATCTGATCGATGAATGGTGAATGCAGAATTTGACAAAGCCCAGTTGATGAGGAAATGTCTCTCATTCACTATTAGGGAGATCATTAAGTGAAAAAATGTTTGGAAGATAATATAGCGTATCTTTCTACATTCGAATAGCCTTGCAGTCTTCATCAGCTATTTCAATTTATCAATCAAAGTATGCCAAGACATATAGTTGTGGATGTATGTATATATATGTATGCACATACGAATTACACATGTGATACTAATTACAATATTTTTGAGGGAATAACATCTCTAGGGAATGGAATTTCCATCAATAAGACTCTTTAAAGTCATCATTTTGGGGCTGAAGAGATGTCCCAGTAGTTAAGAGCACTGGTTGGTCTTGCAGAGAACTCAGGTTTAGTCACCTACGTGGCAGATAACAACCCATCCATAACTCCAGCTCCAGGGAATTCAACTTCCTCTTCTGGCCTCTGGGGACATTATGCACATGTAGTACACTTACATACATGCAGATAAAACACTCATATATACAAAATAAATAAATGAACATTTAAATTGTCATATACTGGAATATCGTGTGATATACAGAAGTTCCTAAATGGAAACATACACTGTGTTCAAAGAGTCAAATAAAAAAAGTATAGATTGCATAGCTCAATGTGTGGCAAGTCTATACACACATATTTGTATCCATATTCCTAGAAAACCTCTTGGATTGTGCATATGAAACTGATACAGGGAGGGGAGGGAAGGAGACATTTGGTTTCTACTTTGTATTGTTCTGTGAGGAGACCCAATATCTTTATGAAGATAGAAAATATTTCAGACTTACATAATCTTAAAGTGTAAGGATTTCAATTTTTAAAAGCTTAAGACTGTAATAATTTGGATCATTTTTATTGCTTTTGAAACTCTATCTTACTTTGCCTTTTAAGAAACCCTTCCTATATCATGTCCTTTCCAAGCCATTATTAGATTCTTTCTTTTCAATAACTAATTTATGAAGACATAACTTTGGCAATAGAATCTAATAAGATTGGAGAGTAGCAGAAACAGTTGCATTGGTCCTAGGATCATCAAGTCATGAAAAGTGGCCATGGTCATTCTTACATTCAAAACTTTGTGCTGACTCCCCATTGACTTTCCTTTATTCAACACATATTCAGTGGAATCCTCTGAGGTTGGACACAGTTCTTCGCACTATAGATGCAGTTGTAATGAGATAGACCATATGCCTGCCTTCATGGTGCTTACTATAGGATGATGGTGGAGAGTGAAAAGAAATACATCTTACTGCTCTGTGTGAGTTGTGGAAATAGGATATGTATGCTTAAGGAAGCAGGAGTGTCTTCACTGGGAAGCCCCAGCTCTTCAGTGTGGATCACAAAGTTTACTTCATTTGCTCTTCCGCTTTACACCATTCTAATAAGTGCACTCTGTTCCTCTCCTTTTGACTTCTTTTCTCTCATATCATCTAGTAATTATTGACCCTTAAAACAACTTTTACATCATTTCTTTCAAGAATCTCTGAAACTTTCAAACTGCATGTGATAGCATTGAAAACATGCTATCTTATCATTTTCAACACTCATTTCTGTCGTCTTCAAATATACAACACCCTCTCCAGTGGAAAGAAGTACACTGCTTCACTTGGATTTGGAGATGCTGAAAACCAGCCTAGAGAGATAAGGTCTCAATACATGCAGCATGGAGCAGGTGAACAATCGAATGAGTACTTAGTGCAAATAAGCCATTTGAAGTACACAAATTAACCTTGACAATGAGGAATGTGTAACAGGTTAGAGTACTTTACAAATGTAAATTCTGAAATTATATTAAGTCGTGTATAAAAATACAATTACCATTTCTAAAGATTATCTTTCTATAAATACAATTTTTAAGTTTTCCAGCTTATAGCCCCTAAAACACATAGTTGTCAAGGTGGGCAAACTGACCCTTTGGGGAAATTGCATTTTAACTTTCTACCTTAATATTTGCTTCATCATCTTTTTTACTTTTTATTATTTCTTTATTTTTTATTTTATATGTATGAGTATATTGCCTGTATATAAGTACACCCGTATTCTACAATGCCTATGGATTGTCAGATGAGGGCATTGGATTCCCCTGGAACTGAAGTTATTAAGAACAGTTGTTAGACACCATGTGGGTTCTGGGAATTGAATCCAGATTCTCTGTAAGAGCAGCGAATGCGCTTAAGCAGTGAGTCATCTCTCCAGCCCCCCCCCCCCCCCCCCCTTTTTTTTGGTCTTTTTGAGACAGGGTCTCCCTGTAGCCCCAGCTGTCCTGGAACTCACTATGTAGACCAGGTTGGCCTTGAACTCACAGAGATCCGCCTGCCCCTGCCTCCCAAGTGCTGGAATTAAAGGCCTACGCCATCATGCCCAGCTATCTCCAGCCCTCTTTAAAAAACATTTAATATTTTTCATTTTATGTATATGAGTGTACTGACTGCATGTGTGTAAGTGCACCCATGTTGTGCAATACCTGTGGAGGTCAGAAAAAGGGCATTGGAGTCCCCTGGAACTGGAGTTTGTTATTAGTGCAATGTGTGTGCTGAGAATCAAACCAGAGCACCCAGTTCTCTTAACTGCTGAGCCGTCTCTCCATCCCTGTTGATCATCTGTTTTTTGAAACCAATGACAAACTATTCATAATTACAGTCAAATGTAATAATTTGATTTTATTTAATCTTCAGTCTCTTCAGACCAAAACTAATTCTCCAAGTATGATAGCTCTAATTGCTGTCAGTCTTTAGAACAAAATACATCTTGCCTTTGAAACTCAAAATAGAATTGTGATAATTAAAATAGAATTGTCTTTGTAAAATGATGTTCCTTTTGCATTTTCAAGTTACCACAGCCTATAACAACTACCTCAAATTCTGTAAGGGGCACCCACTATCAGCTTTCTTGGGAAAACATAGACACCATGTGCGAAATGATGTAATATGTGAATGAGGGCTGTCAGAGAGAGAAGGTTTTTTCCATGTGGGAGGCAGAATGCTAGGCTTGGTGCTACATTACGACGAGGAGGAGGAAAAGTAGGACGATGAGTAGTAGTATTTGGAGGAGGAAGGGGATTTATGCAAACATCACCAACGCATGCTTCAATATCTGCCATAAACTCCACAATACGTTGCATCCTGCACTCTATCATGGGAAAACAGGCACATTTAAAATTATTAGCATAGTACATCAGGTCTTCAAAGCTGGGTTTGCCATGTACTACAGGCGTCACATTCTCCGGAAATTCAATACGAACATTCGTGGCGTTCAAGTGGAGATAAGTACTGCTGTCGGGATATTTCCTTATACACACTCCCTGGTTATTGCAAAGTGTTAGGCTACACATTTTGGCTGCTAAAGAGACATTGAGCAGGTAAGGAATCAGAACAGTCTTCATGTGTTCTTTTAGGAGTGGGCAACCTGCCTGTAAATAATAAAATAGAATATCGAGGTATAATTTCCTATGTCAATTAACGTACAACAATTCTTAAGAACAATATGACAGAGCAGGTGATGGGATGTTCTCTTTTACTTTAATAAGCAAGATTGTGCCAGCTGTTTTCTAAGTTTTGTCATTTTTCATGCCATTTCATGTCAGTGTATAATTTTTTAGTTGAGGCTTACCTAATCCTAAACATCACCTTCCCCAACAATTCATAATCAGGAGGATGGATGTTACAGATATTAGACTATTGGCTTTGAGGTTCTCATACCCTAACTGGAATCCCAGCTTCCTTAATAAACTTCTGTGTGAGCTTGGAATCTCCCAAGCATTCTCAGTCTTAGTTTTCTATCTAAATAGCCTCGTGGAAATTAGTGAATTTGCTTATGTTACTCTATTGTCACTTGTAGAATAAGGTTGAGTTTAGAGTCTGCAGCAGAGGGCTTATATGGTGACAGATGATAAAATCTAGATGATAGATAATGATAAAGTAATACATATGCTTAATATAGGTCTTATCCTATCTTAGGCTAACCATCAATAAGTCATAAGTAATTGTAATAGAAATCTCATTTGTCTTATGAATTTAAACATTAGCTAGATTTCATTTCTCTTTCTTCTTTTATTTATTTTTTTTGGGGGGGGGGAGCTTTTGGTTACTCTAACATCCCCCCCCCCGAAGAGGCAACCCTAAAATCTTTTAAGGATTATATACAAGCTCTAAAATACTTTTGACATTTTTGGTCTTTGGAACAGAGTATGTTGCTAAGAGGCCCAAGAACATTATGAGTTTTAGCCAAGAAACTGGCTAATTTTCTTTGGGATCTTTTTACCCTAACTGCCTAGCCAATTCCTACCTCCTATTCTTACCATGCCATCCTCTGAAGAGGTTACCAAATTGCCAATAGGGAATAGGGACACAGCCCGCTCTGGCTTCTTCCATGCTGAACAGGGATGCAGGGTGAGGCAATTGGAGTACCCCTTCAGTGGGTCTATTTAAAAGACTCCCAAATTGCATAAATCTTATCTTTAAGGTAAAAGAGTCTTTGAATCATGAATAGGAGATGTGAAGGAGAAGTAAAGGCAAGAGTAATTAGCATTACAAGTTCTAGCCAGAGAACTAGAAAAAAGTCAGAACAGGGCAATTTTCAAATGTTCATATGAGTCCATCATCACAACTTCAGATGAGCCTGATCGCCAGTCATCGTCACAATTGAGCTTGTTGACAGTTGTGCTCATTCATTAAAGGAGAGCCAAGCAGGGTCATTGGACCCTCACCAGAGTATCCAGCCACTCTTCCCAGCCAACTGTATGTAATTTGACCGTAATCACACATGGCCTCCTGGATTTGGGAAAGGCTAAAGTATACAATCTGGGGAAGGCCAAGAAGAAAAGGCATAACCCATGCTGGGTTAAGGCTTTCCAGTGTGCATACCCTCAGGTCATACATATACCTCAGCAACCCCTCAGTTATATGGTAAGTAAGCTCAATAAATTTATTGGTTCCCCAGTAAAACTTTAACCAAACATTGGCTTAACACTAGAACCTTAAAAGGGAATAAAAATTGCTTAGCATCCCCAGGAAAAGGGAATAAAAAATGCTTAGCATCCCCAGGAAAAGAAATCTCACAACATATGCAAAATTTATTTGTTAATGCTATTATGTCTCATAATTATTTTTTAAAAAAGAAAATGAGACTGTAAAAGACATTAAAGGGGTATGGGAAATAGAGATATTTTCCAAACTAGACAGGAAAAAATGAGAACGCCTAAGCATGTGATGAAGGTCTGTTAAGGTTTGTTATGATATATAAAGGATGAAACAAAAAATATACACATAATCTTAAAATTTCTATGGTCATAGTTTAGTCAACTAGTTTAAGGAACAAAATAATATCTAGTCAAGGTTTATCTGAGAATCTTTGGTTTTTTTTAACCAAGCCTTATCTATACCTGCAATTTTCATTTTCTCAACTTCTCTGTGAATCAGAGGAAATATAACAGGTAATCCATGGGTACACTGCTTACAAAGGACACAGGAAAAAATGGGAGAGATGATAATCATAGTAAAAAATAATCATGAATTGGGAAAAGGAACAGAAATATGCAGAAAGAGACTCTAAGGACAATGTTGATAGGCAATGTGTAAAATAGGAAAGAGTAATAAAAATATTGTAGGGCTGTGCCGGAATGAATCATTCTGAAGATGTTGATGTAGGAAGCAAACAATATGTATCTCAGATCAAAGTGACCTTAAAAAAAAATATGATGGTTTAACCATGTGTCACCATATTGTACTCAGTGTAGCATGCTCCATTCATTCATTCTCAGAAAGAGTGCAGTTCTCTGTTGTTTATTAAGGAAGTAGTATGCGAAATTTAAAATGTCTCCATCACAGAATTATACTATCTTTGAGAAAGGTATTCATAGCTTAGGAAAAATAATTAGCAAAAATTCTGAGTATACTCAGGAAGATATATATATATTTCCCCTGAATTTATTGTACCTGTTATTCCTTTGTATTGAGATCATAGCTAAAGAAAATATAAGTACATAAAATAGGCAGAAGGGCTCAGGGCACTTTGATAGAGTTTAACAGAAGCAGCTGCTTTAAATATTTTTAAATATGGTAAGGATGTTGCTGCTCTCTCTAAAAAACAAGAGTGAAGTATAGCACTTCTCAAGTGCCTCTCCTGGTCTTAGGGTATAAAGTCTGTCCTCTACAGGTTGTAGGACAGGACTCCTGGGCTTCATATGACAGTCTCTGTGGCACATTCATCACTTGTATTGCCAAGTCTGCCGCAGAAGGAAAAACTGGCTCCAGGTTAGCAATATTTATGTTCATATATAATATACATGTACATATAAATATGTACACACAAACATATCTACACATAATCTCCTTTGATTCAAGAGGATTAAATAAATGGCTGATAAACACTTGATATGGGAAATTAAAACATAAAAACAGAGCTCTACTGTCTGACACTAAGCACTTTGTCAGAAAACTGAAATTGTAGTTTTAGTCTTGCTACTTACAAACCATGAGGCTAGAGAAGTTCAGTTAGTCTCATTAAAGATCTGATGCCTCACTGGAAAATCAGTACATTTCCTAATTTTAAAAGAAAACGGTATTTTTATAATGTTGGGTATCTACTAAAAAATCCTAGACATATTTATTTTTTAATGCAAAAATAATTCTCCAAAATATTAAGGATACAAATATTTTCATTTATCTCCTACCAATTCAACTTAATGCCCTACCAAATCAACTTACCCCACGTTTTGATAAAGACACAGCATCCCATATTATAATTCCAGCAGGACCCAGAGCAACAATTTCACCAATTGTATTCACAAGGTCATCCTGGGAAATGTGATAAAAAGAGTTAACATGCAGGAATAAGCTACAGGTGTTTACACAATACAGTAATACAGCAAGCTAAGTATGCTGATTCAACACTATAATTACATACTCCATACTCATAGTTTTTACTCAGGTTTTTTTTTTCTATTTAAAAAGAATATATTATTGGTTTAACGATTTCTGCTGGCAAGAGACTAGATCCATGAAAAGTAAAGTTAAAATACTGTCTACATTTTATAATTATCCATGGCTGTTAACAGGTCATACATTAAAGACAAAAAGTTATAAAAGAATATGCTTTTGGTTTTTTGGGGTTTTTTTTTTTTTTTTTTTGGTCTTTTTGAAACAGGGTCTCCCTGTAGCTCCAGCTGAGCTGGAACTTACTATGTACACCAGGCTGGCCTCGAACTCACAAAAGAAGTGCCTATCTCTGTCTCCGGAGTGCTGGGATTAAAGGCCTGCGCCACCACTCCCGGCAAGAATAAACTTTTATGAGAAAATAGAATCACTCATGTGCAAATGCCTAAAACATATATACAGCTCAATTACATTTCCTTTAAAAACATTAGTTTCCAGTAAACATCATTTGTGAATTACAATCTCACAGCTGTCACAGTTTAATTACATACCTGAAGAAGAAACTGCGTAGGTTTATCAGAAAAAACAAGCCGAACATAAAACATAATTGGAATAGGATTTTTATCATTCCTCACTTCGGCCAATCTAATGGCTTCCGTTAAGCGGCTGCGGGTATAGAGTGCAGCTTTAGAAGAAGACTTCAACTGTGACCTCAAATAGACAGATGGATAAAGGCCTGTGGCTTCCTTCCACATCCAACTGAGTTGATCATTTCTTTTCTTTTCCTCGTCAGGGCAATATCCAAGGTAATTGGATTTTGAATAATCTCCGTTATAACACTCTGGAAAAAGATAGAAACCCCACAGGTGTTTTGGCCGAACAGACCTTCCCAGTTTTAATGTCTCTGTCATCAAAATCTTTCCTGCCCTTTCAAGGTCTTCGTGGGCTTTCCTGGTGGCTTCTGTTTCATTCAGTTCTGGATTTTGCTTCTTGGCAAACTCAATAGATTTTCTCTGGTAAGGTGTCCGATATGCTGTGTTTCTTACCCAAACCGGATCCCAGTCTTTCCAGTCCATGACGACAAATCCCGGTTTGTCAAATGGTATATAACGTGCAATGTCATTCCTACATTCATTCAGATGATCTTTTAAATCCACGGCCTGGGGGACCCCTCCATAATGCACTATTTTGTTATCATCTATGTAAGGATAGTGTCCAAATCTATTTTTTAAAAATATTGTGAGGATCTGCCTTTCTGGGAGGTCACTGGCCCTTCTTACTACAGGGAACAGACTCAGATCTATTGAATGAGTTTCGTTGTCAGGACAATCATTAACTGGGACATTCCAGACCCAAAGAAAAGTTATATTGTTATAGACTGGGCTTGCTCTATAATCTGTAGTCACCCTACATGGAATCACAAGGAAGACGAACACTGTCAGAGACTCAACAAAGCACCCCAAAGAGAGGTGCTTAAAACTCAATCCTCCCATTGCAGAGAATAGATAATATCAACACTTATTTCCTCTTACATACTGTGGTCTGTCCAGTATTTAATGCAAAAGGTGAGAAAGGTGGCAAATGTATAAAGAACATTTACATTGTCATTATTATTCTTGCTTCACCTTTCAGGAATGTTTTGCAGCAAGTTGCATTATCTGTCACTGTAAAAAAAAAAAAAAACACAGAATTTACAAGTCCTCAAGTTCATTCAATTTCAGTAGATAGAAGACCTATGATTGTATTTAAGTAAGATTTCTTCTCTTATATAAGACATACATTCTGTAACGGTTAATTTTGATAATATTAATAATAATATTTCCTGTGCTATAATTTAAAAATAATGTCCGTGATCTCTTTTTTTTTTCCTTTTTTCTTCCCAGGTATGTAAGATGCTATATCTAGCAATACCTTAGCAAAACCTGTTTAGGAAAATAGATTCTTCTTTATTTGTTCTTGAAAGACCACTGTCACATCTGCCAAATTTTGAACACAACCCTTCACAGAATTTGAAGTTTTTTCCTCTTCATAATTATTCTCTGTATGTGAATATGGGGGTGGTGTTGAGAATTAAACCCAAAGCCTTACAGATGCTGGGAAAACACTTTACCAGTGAGTACATTCCTATCTGCTTCTTTGTCTATGTGTTTCATGCACAGGTCTTCAATTATCCTGTTTGGACCAGACTCCTGGTCCTTCTGCCTCAGCTTCCAAGAACTGAGGATTAGAAGTGTATAATCCCTTCCCTGATCATCATACTTTTTTTTTCTTTCCACTTAATTTTGTTTCTTATACAATTCAGCAATATAAAGGGGAAATTCACTTTTGCCACAGGTAATAACTTAATAAGTTTAAGCATTCCTTAGAACATGACGGCATCAAAGCTTTACAGTAATATCTGCTCATAATTAAAATTAATAAATTACATTGATCAATTATAGCCTTGTTTGAAAAACACAGGGTAAGAATTTAGTCTTTTTAATAGAATTCAGCTCTTTCTTTTTTAAAATTTATTTATTTTTATTTTATGTATATGAGTGTTTTGCCCACATGTAGGTAACTGCATCACATGTGTGCAATGCCTGCAGAGGCCAGAAGAGGGAGTCTTCCGAGTCGTTTCTCCTGCCCTGAATATTGGTCTTAAATTGTGTTTCAAAAGCATGAATGTGTTGCTGTTCTGCCTGACAAGGTGAAGTATGATAGTGACTGCTGTGGTACAATCAAACACTCTGACCTAAGAACCAGTGATTACATTAAATCAACTCCAGAACTTTGTATTTGCAAAATTTACTTATATTAGGGCATATTTAACTTTTTTTAAATTTTTATTTATTATTTTTATTTTATGTGTATGTGTGTATGGGCTGTATGTAGATAAGTGCACCTGTGTCATGCAAGCCCACGGAGGTCAGAAGAGACTGTCGGATACCCTGGGACTGGAGTTATGGACAGTTGTTAGTGGCCATGTAGCTGCTGGGATTCAAACCCGGATCTTCTGCAAGAATAGTCAGTGTTCTTAACCACTGAGCTATCTCTCCAGCCCTGCCATTTAACTTTTTAATTACATTTTTATTTGTTTTGTAGAGCTGGGGGACATGTGTGTGCCACAGTGCAAAAGTGAATGTCAGAGAACAGCTTTGGGAGTTGCTTCTCTCCGTCTACTATATGGGTCCCTGGGAATGAAGTTATGGCCTCAGGATTGGCAACAGGTGCCTCTACCCGCTGAGCCATCTCACCTGTCCCGCAATGAGATATGTTGAAGTCCATTAGCTTTCAGAGGAAAGTAGAGCTTTTACTTTAAGAAAAATCACTAGTACACTGCTGTGTTAGAGTACAGTGAGAATTATATCGTTCTTTCTAGGAATGTTGTCCTTTCCACAGCAAGGTATTCATTCAGTCTCACTACTGAAAACTGTTCTAAAAAGGATGCCATATTAAGTAAAAGAAATCTTAATCATTCTTAGCCACAAGTTTTAAACATAACAAGGCTTCCCCTCATGTTTAGAACAGGTAAGAGTACTTAAAGATTTTATCATATAAACTCTTACAAACCTCCTTATTTAAGACCTTGAAAAAATTCATCAAAGTAACAGGGGAAGAAATAATTCCTGTCAAATATCAAGTGCCCACATCAAGGCCTGAATGGTAGTGGTAAGAGAAGGAAATTGGATAGGGTTTTAGCTTTCCAATGTCTTATGGGAAGTAGGCTCAGCTGACTGAAATGGATATTCAACTCTGCATTTTGTGTAATCATTTAAAATAAGATAAACAGAACCGTTTAGTGCAGAATGGTTTTATGATAAGATCTCTACCCTCAGAAATCATCAAAACAGAATGGATACATCTAACTTCGAAAATCAACTGGATGAAATGTCTCTTCTTATGTATAAATCTGACGACAAAGACTTGGCCTTGGGATAGAGGCCAACATGTACAGAGGTATCTTCATGTTATTTAAAACATTTGCTACAGAAACTCATCTTCTTGGACATTTTTAACTGATTTAATTCCAGATAACAGGTTGAACATCCCTGCCTGAGAAAACCAAACTTCAAAATACTACAAAATTAAAATATTTTTGAGCAACAACATGAAACCACAAGTAGAAAATTCCACACCATGAAACTTCGTGACACGCAAAAAATTATTTTAAACTTTCGAATAAAATTAGCTGGACATGGTGGTATATACCTTGAATCCCAGCATTTGGGAGGCAGAGGTAGGCAGATCTCCATGAGATGGAGGCCAATCTAGTCTATGTAGAAGTTCCAGGCCTGCTGGAGCCACTATATATATATAGTATAACAGTAGTTTAAGGTTAGATATATAGAAAACAATGGAGACAATGGACTCCATGTTTCTTTGGTCTCATTCCTAAGATATCTTCCCGTGTATTTTTGGATGCTCCAAACCTTTAAAAGATCTGAACTCTTAAATATTTCTGGTCCTGTGCATTTCATATAAGGAACACAGCACCTGATTCCTAAACTGTATACTCAGTTTATGCCTATGGCTGATGCCCTGATGTCCCTGAGCACCCAGGAACAGAATCTATCCAGAAGCTTCTTCTCTAAGTGCAGCCCCTCCCCTCTCCTTCCTTTGCAGCTTCAGGACCAGAAGGGACTGGTCTTAAAGTCTTCTCAGAGCACCAGCAGTTTGATTGCATCCCTTTACAAATTTCTTTTCAAAATAAATTTAGAAAGTTAAAAACTAAAAATCTTTTACGTTCCTACTTCTATTAAACTCTTATTCTTGTGTTCTAAAGGAATTTTTTCATTGAAATGTGATCCTGTGAATCAGATATCCCTTGTCTGAGGAATTCCAAAATTGTTTTGTAATAAAAATTATACAGCCATGCCACATGTTTATACCTACCCATGTAATATTTACTATTTCTGTATACTGAAAAATGTAAAAAATGAGAATATAGTAACAAATATATAATGATGCTGAAATACTATATTTAATACTGTTAGAATTTATATAGGTATCAGAACCAGTTCTAAAGCTAATGAATCAATAGGTTAAGATATTTGCCTGTATTATTGATCAATAAAGGTTAAAAAATACCAACTACAGGGCTGGAGAGATGGCTCAATGATTAAGAGCACTGACTGCTCTTAAAGAGGACCTGGGTTCAATTCCCAGCACCCACATGGAGGCTATGAACCGTCCTTAAATCCAGGTCCAGGGGAAATCCGAAACCCTCTTCTGACCTCCACAGGCATTACACAACACAGGTGCATTTGCATACATGCAGGCGATGCACTCAAAAGTAGGAACTAGGGGCAGGAACCTGGAGGCAGGAGCTGGAGCACTGGCCCTGGAGGAATGCTGCTTACTGGCTTGCTCCCCTGGCCCCTGCTCAGCCTGCTTTCTTATGCAACACAGGCCCACCTGCCCAGGGTGGCACCACCCATAGTGGGCTGGGCCCTCCCACATCACTCATCAAGAAGATGCCCCTCAGACATGGCCACAGGCCAGTCCAATAGAGGCAATTCCCCAATTGAGGCTTCCTCAACCCAGGTGTGTCAAGTTGACACTAAAGTTATCCAGCACACCAACTATGTGTCAGAACTCACACAGCCCTCTACTTTGGTTTATTTAGTTTTCCCAAGAAACTCACAGAACTTAAGGAAATAGGCTTAGCAGTTTGCCATATCAGATGTTACCAAGAGCAGGTATGGATAGATACACAGAACAAGGTGCGAGAGAGGCAGGCAGAGCTTCTTATACCTCTCCAGGTGAACCTACATTCAGGAATGTCCACATTACCTCCTACCTAGAAACTCCCAAATTCTGTGATTTGGGATTTTTATAGTGATTTCACTGCTGAGACATGATAGAAGCATGGACAACCATGTCAAAATGAGATTGAACCGGACAGATAATATCTAATACCTGTGGACTGAGGCCCCAAGCCCATGTAAGGTATATCATTCACCTAGACTTCTTTATGGACCTTCCATCACACACAGTGTGGGGCAATACATCTCTGGAAAGAGGAGAATCTTATCTAATTCCAATCAGACAAGGAGAAATCAGAGAATTTATATCCAGATCAAAGACAAAATCC